GTCAGTTTTGACGAAATATGCTGACGCCGTCAGTTAGGATTGACGGTTACCGTTAGGTTTTAACGGAATATTCTGAGGAATATTCCTGACGCCGTTTGTAGGATCCGTCAGGATCCCCTGCGTGTGGCCGGGTGTATTGCCGTGCCTTGGCCGGCGCGTGGCGGCACGTGCGGGGTCAGAAAATTATTTTGAAAATTTGGGTAGGTCTGTGGAGTTATGTAGATCACTGCGGTATATTCATATACCCATTTTGAGCAATGTATGAGAAGTTATTAGCTAGTTTTGCCTATATGCTTTAAAATAACGTTTTTATAGTTAATTCGCATATAGGTGAGACTTATTCCGAGGACGAGCGTATCCACAGGCGACTCGGGGGTTACAACCCGTCGACATATCAGTGAGTGGGCTTTTGTTTTCAGTATATATTTATATACTTGATATATTTCCCAGAAATGCATTTTTTAAGAAAAGTATGCTTTGAAATAATATGCCTAATGCTTCTATATTTTGAATATGCATTGCATGGTTGCATATATATATATATATATATATATATATATATATATATATATATATATATATATGTGTGGTGCTGTGTAGGCACAGGTGAGTTCAGGTAAGTTATGTTTGTTTGTGTGAATCATCGATGATGTGATATATGATATGTGATTAAGTAATGTTGAGCTCATAAAGCTGCACCTAGGGTGATTGTGAATTAGCCAGAGATATGAAGTACATGCCTGTTTATTTACGTCACCTCCCGCACTATATGCTCATATTGGATCCAACTTAAGTGCCCAGTCTTGTCGTACAGACCTTAATTATGGTTCCGACTCGTAGGTGACAAGCGATTTATCGCTCGGCTATTATGAGATAATAGAGTTGAGCATAATTAAATCTCACCCAAGCTTGTCGTATAGACCCTTCGTAGTGGTTCCGACTTATGTGCAGTATATTGCCGTATAGGTCATAGTAGTGACTCCGGCTAGATTGAGTTTGAGCTATGAATTCAGCCGTACAGACTACCACAAGAGTTCCGGCTAACATATCACATTTCTATGAAATTATTTTTACCTGAATTGTTTACTCTATTATATCTTGGCATGGCATATATACATATGAATATGATTATGTGAAGCATGAACTGAATTGATATGATTTCAGATATATATATGTATATGCTTACATCTTGATTCTGGGAAAATTATACATGTTTTACAGCGAGGGGTTAGATATGTTGATAAATGAAATGGTTTTGTAAAACATTTGTTTATGCCCACTCACGTTTTATGTTTTGCGCCCCTCCAGGTTTTAAGTAAGCTTGCTGTTTGTGGCTTAAGGATGTCAGCATTTCTGACTCATGTGAATAATAGTAGGACATTCTTGGTATTGTATAACTAGTACTTGTCCTACTGGACTGCACCTAGACTTTATGCTATGATTAGGAGTGTTTACTGTTGTAACTAACTCCTATCACTTTCTGTTTAGTAATGCACTCTAGTAATTTGGTTTTCAATTATTCGTATAATTCTTATCATCATCGCTTCCGCACTGTGCACATGGCTACGTCACTCTCACGTGACGGCCAACATGCCTTGATCTTGGTCGGGGTGTGTCATAATTAATCTGGACTGTTGGATTTGAAAAATATTCAAATCTAAGAGCCAAGGCGCTACCACGTGGCCAACGGTCATAATTCTGACCGTTGGGCCTTTTTTATTATTTTTATTTTTATTTTTGGTGAAAAAAAACGTGGACGTTGATTTGTGATTGGACGGTCCATTTTAAAAGTCAAATTTAAATTTTTTTTACCATTGGAAATCCAATGGTATACAAAAACTAGCAGTTGGAAATCCAACGGCATTGAGAGGGCCTTCCAGGTGAAGCACAAGTGGGCTGACAGCGAGCCTCGCCGCATGCACCCTTGTCCCCTACTCGTACCCACTCGTGAGTGAGCTGCACACGCCAGGCAAATAGCCTTGCTCCTTGGTCAGTCAATTTTGGGCTGGCCCATAGACTAGCTTGGGCTGGGTGCCAGGCAAGTTGCTGGGCTGGAGTGAATTGACAAGGTGCCAGCCTGGTTTTTTGACTGGGTGCTGGGCTATTCCACCTCCGGTGGAACTGCTCTTATTAACGACCTCTTTTGTTTTTTTGACAAACGATAATATTTTACACTAAGAGAGAAATGAGGGAGTAGTTTAAGCCTCACAATTGACTAGCAATTATGTGATTCAAATTTATCTTTGGCGAGAAACGAATATAAGACCTCTCATGTACAAGTGAAGAGGAATATCACTAGACTGTAGTACTAAGACTTCTATAAATGTTAAAAATGTATCATTAAATAAGAGCTAATTGATAACCATCATATTTAATTCAAGAATGGAAAGCAACCGTATGTATGAACCAATATTGGATGAATGGTCTACATAATAAAAACAAAATGTGAGTAGGTTGTTATGGTTTGGTACTCTTAAGTCTTTATGGAATAAAATTGTAAGACAAATCTTATGGCCACATTTTGTCCACACCTTTCAACAAATAGAAATGCTAGTAGCCGTCACGTTACCTTATTTCTTCCCTTCCCTTTCCGCTTTCCGCTTTCCACTTTGATAGTTGACACGGTCAAAAACTCATCATGCCGTCCATTGCCCATATTTTAGTAGCCTTCCCACTCACTCCACCTTCGTTCCAATACAAACACACTCTTCTACCACACAATTTATGGCCTATCTAACAGAAACGCTTTTATCGTAAATGGACTCTAAGATTGATTGAATCAATCATATTAATCTTTTTAAAAAACCAAGGAAAACATTGATCAAATAAAAGTGAGAGACAAGACGATAAGTTCAATTAATCTCAAAAACCATTTCAATAAAAATCCTTTTGTTTGTTATTATTATTAGAATAAATTAAAAATCTATTAGCAAGAAACAAGTTTAGAAAATTTTAAGCACTAATGTAAAGCATTCATTATTCAACATGTGACGTATATTAAGTTTCATACGAGCATGAGTGATAGTTTCACATAACATTTCGATAATTTAACTTTGATAAACTGAGACGATGTTAAAATGTAAGCATTCAAGTATAAATCATTAGTGCCACTTAGTACTACGGTCTAAATGTATTCCTCTTTACTTGTAAGTGAGAGGTCTTAGGTTCGATTATTGTCAAAGGTAAATTTGAACTAAATATTATGGCTGGTTCATTATGAGACTTAGCCCACTTTCCCACCATTTAATGTAGATAATATTGTTTGTTAAAAAAAATATAAATCACTAGTGGGTAGGTATACCGTATATATGTTGGTCCAAGTTTGGTGGAGGATATGGTGAAGTTTGGACATTTTTCTAGACATTGTTGAGAGTATTAAATGCTCAAAGGATAGGTTAGCACTAAGAGCTTCAAATTACAAATGGATGAAGTCGTTCAAAAGCACGTTTGGTACTCACTCCTACACATTCAAGCCTCATGCTTGCTTCTGCACACCACACGCACTTACAAAAACCAATTTTGGCCGCTAAAAGCAAAGAAGTTGGAGTCAACAACAATGTGAGTGTGGCTTCCTACTCACCTTGTGTTTATATTTGCTTCAGAAAGCCAGACACCAAGTGAGACAATTTTGGAGGATATTTGAGAATACCCATCTGTTTTTTTTTTTTTTTTTTTTGCCAAAGTTTTGGACCTTTTGGTTCAACCCAACCCAACCCATGTGTGCTTATGTTTGGGATTTGGGCCTAAAGTCTAAGTTCAACAAACTCAAGTTTGGAGACTACATTGAGTGGGCTTTATTTAGAGAGGAAGGTTAATCACACGCATTGTATTTGAGATTTGGGTCATACTTGAGGTGTTTGAGATTTCCATCAAGGCCCATTAGAGGAAAGAAATTTCATTGTGACCAGAACACGGATGGTACACTACATGTTTTTATACAAGTGTTGGGAAATAATATTTTTTAACACACATATCCCACCATTTGTATAATGACACGTGATGTACCACATCGTGTTCCCGTCACACTGGAAAATATCTCCCCCATTAGAGGTTGCATTGGTCGTAAGATCCACTTTCATGATAAATTCATTCCATACAATGAACAAAATGTTTGTTATGCTTAATATATTCAGTTTGATCTGTATCTGTTTTAATTATGTTCTTTATTTAAGTAGGTCTTTCGCTGCCTAATTGCGCCTAGGCTTTTTTAAATCCTTCAAGGTTTTTGTCAATTTAGGGGTGAATTTGTTTTTGAACTTAGAAGTAGCTACTTTGCTGGCTTTTCTTAAATACGAAATCATTGTGCTATACCGTAATACGAATGTCCTTCCAGCTTCTCGGTTCTGCACCCCCACCCCATCAAAAGAAATAAACAGGAAACATGCTTGAATAAATTATAAAACACTACTAATAAATAAATAAAATTATATACATAAAAAAAACACTACTACACTATCTCAAACAAGATTTTAATATTTCAGAGTACCTAACAAAATATTTAACATTTGATTAAAAAAAACATAATATCTAGACACTGTGAGTGCATGTGTATATAAAATCATATATTATATACATATATATAAATTGGTGGTTAGATTTTTAAAAATAATTTGGGGTGTGATAAGAAAATAATGGTTTCATTAAAAAAATTTAGAGTTTAAATCGTCATTTTATACAAGTTGTTTAACACACATTATTGAGTGGGTACAATTCATGAAGTGCTAATTAACAAGCCTAGATAAAAACATAATTCTCAAATCTTTCGAAACTATTTATTGTATCCTTCCTTCACTGCTAATTACAAGAGGTTAATAAATAATAATAAAATACTCTCCTTTTTCAACACAGATAAGGAAAATGTAGTGAAATTTTTCAATATAACCGTCACACGAGATAATACATCACGTGTTTTCATATAAATAATAGAATATATATATTAAAAAGTTGATAACTTAAAAATTAAAATTTTCCACCGTTTATATAGAAATACGTGAGTATTCCCGTCACAACTGAAAAATAAAAATTTCTCGAATTCTCAAAGTGTAGAAGGAAAAACCTCCTCAGTTCCCATCCCTTCGTTTCACAATTCACAAATCAATTTTGAAACCCTAAATCCCTTTCTCTCTCTCGAATACCCTAGACCGGGATGGCCGCTGAGAAGAAGATGATCACCCTGAAGAGCTCGGACGGCGAGGCGTTCGAGGTCGATGAGGCGGTTGCTATGGAGTCACAGACCATCAAGCACTTGGTGGAGGACTGCGCCGACAATGCGATCCCTCTCCCCAACGTGACCAGCCACATCCTCGCCAAGATCATCGAGTACTGCCGGAAGCATGTCGAGGGTCGCAAAGACGGCGACAGCACCGACCTCGGCAAGAGCGGCGATGAGACTCTCAAGAAGTTTGACGAGGACTTCGTCAACGAGATAAAAGCTGATCAGAATGTCCTCTTTGATCTGATTTTAGTAAGTATCGTGATCCCAACTCTGTTATTGTTTGTTCGATTTCTTTGTAAAATCTGGATGCTCTTGTTTCTGTGAGGTTTGATTTGGATTTCTTGAGTGTTTTGCTGAAATTTTAGGGTTAGGGTACGCAGATTGGATTATTTTATGAGAAATTAGAGGAAAGATGGATTCTTTTTAGAACAAATAATTGGGGTTTTTTATCGTCTCTTCTGGAATACCTTGTTGAAATTTAAGTGTAGAATTTGCTTCTTGGGTTTATTTATGCGAAATTAGGAGAAAGCGGGATATATTTTTATTTGCTGTATGTGAAATTTAAGTCTTTTGGTGCACTCTGTTACTTCCTTTTTGTTCAATTTCAATTGCTTACTAGTTTGAAAGTCTCTTAATGTGTTCTATGATCATGATGTGGATTTTGGTATGTGTGGTGCTTCTTTGGATGCGAAGCTTAACTCAAATCGGTTAGTTCCTAGAATGTACTATTCTGGGTTCGATTGATTTTGCGAACAAAAGTAAAACAATACCTAATATTTTAGGCAGTCAGTCACTTTTTAAAGTTTCATTGCTTTGCCTATTTATACTGTTGAATATATATATTATCTTAATGTATTTGCATACCTTTTATTTCAGGGTTTGTTACTACTACAACTTTTATACGGTTTTATAATTGTTTATTGGCAAAATCATTCAATTTTTGTTACACATTGGCACATTGCATACACAATTGAGCTACTAAGAGCATAGGGTTATAGACTAGTGCAGCAGAAGATTTGGTTGCCTTTTGTTGATCTTGAATCATTGTATCTGCATCGCCATTTCTGTTTTGTCATGGATATTTTGGCTAATTTATCTGTATTGCCAATTTTTCAGGCTGCGAACTATCTAAACATCAAGAGCCTGCTGGATCTGACCTGCCAGACTGTGGCTGACATGATCAAGGGAAAGACACCTGAAGAGATCCGCAAGACTTTCAATATCAAGAATGATTTCACCCCTGAGGAGGAAGAAGAGGTTCGCAGGGAGAACCAGTGGGCATTCGAGTAAGCAGAAGGGCCTTCTCCAAAATGTTGATAGTATGATAGGGATGTCGATATAGTTAGAGCGTTCATATTTTGCTTTTAGGGGGGTTTTTGGAAGGAGAGCTAAGTTTTATGGCTACTTGTAATTGAAGCGATTTTTTGTTTAGTGATGCTCAAGTCTTGTCAAGATTTCTGCAGACCCCTTTTATTATCTTAAAACGTAACGATTTTAGTAGTTTCTTCATGTTATCCAATCTTACACAAGAAATTTCGGAGTTGGTTGGGTTAAACCTTGTTGGGCAGCCAAACTGTTTTCATGATTCCAAGCTACTGTATCTGTATGTTACCCAATCTTGTAGATTATATAGTAATTTACTTATGAATCATATGCTGTACCAATTTTTGTATTTGTATAATTAAAAATAAAAAAAATAAAAAATAAAAACTTTTTATTTTATGTTTTATATTGGGGTTGCAGCTAGAAGGATCTCTGTGCTCTGGAGTCTGCTGCGTGTTCTAAGCATCGATGATGAAGGGTCCACCTATGTCTAATCATCCACATCTTAGTTAATCAAACAGAAAGATGTGGAAGGGAATATCGCATTCCTTCATGAATTATCCTACCCAAAACTAAATTGTAAGCAATGATCATAATCCAGGAAGCCTCCCGTAGCAAACCAAGAAAACTAGAGAAAATAAATTACCGAGATGTCAAAGTGACAGTATCTCAACTCAATTATGTGACATTGAGTGCATAACTTAAATTTTTATTGTCACATAATGCGCCACTTTAGTGTCTTATCTTATGTAAGCCTACCTCCAGCCTCCAGGACGAAGGAGACGGAAAAAAAATGCATGAAACCTTACTTACAGAAGATGATCCTTAGAAGAGGTAACTTTGTGCCTTAACCTTGAGTAACTAAAACCAAAATCCTCACTTTAGATTTGGGCATTTTTTGTGTAATCTGTTTGTTGGCAGTCCTTCATTTTTGTTCCTCACTGTCGCAAGCTTCCACCAAGATCAGATCAAAACAATGGTGGACCCTGAACCTGTAATTTCCTAATGCCAACAAAATGTCCCTAAAAATATTCATGATTGACATTTCAAGTTGGGCATTTCTCAAAAGATGCTATTCACACACACACACACATATATATATATATATTATCTTCTATACATCTTCTGTTAATTTATATATTTTGATTATTTTTAATACATTCGAATTGATGACTGTAAATTGAGAAAAATGTGAGAAAATAAAAAAGAGTACATAGATAGCACCATCCATATTCGAGTAGTCTATTCAGATTCCATCGAATTTAGGAATGTACGTACGTACCTACTGCCTAGTCAAGGGCCATTGGTGTGTTCAAAATTTAAGTGGGTCGTTAGGAACCAAAATCTTATTTACATGAAACAGTTTATTATTATGTAGTGTTACATTTTAAATAAGATAATGAAATTTTTAAATTTTCTAATATATAGCATTGTATTTAGGCCTGGCAAACGGGTCGTGTCTGTCATGTTCGTATCGTTTTCGTGTAACACATGTTATCTTAATGGGTCGTGTCGTGTCACACCTGTTATCTTAACGGATCCTTAACAGGTCGGGTCACTTTACCCAACTGGTAAAGTGACCCGACCCGTTATGAAAAATATATTTTTTTTCTTAAATTTGCACATACCACACTCGAAAATAAGGTCGTGTCACACCTGTTATCGTTTAAGTACTACATCTACACTCGAAAATAAGAGTTTAATAAAAAAACATTCATACCCTACTAGTCAAGTTTTTAAATTTAATTTAATATATAGATTCACTAACACTTAAGAGTTTATTCATACTTTCATTAAATATAACTTAAGATTTTGTGGTATCCACTATTGTAAATATTTTAAATTGAAGATTGAGTTCATTCATTGTATTCATATAGGGTCAATGAGTGTAGCTGTAAAAAATCATCAAAATCGAATTTAAAATAACCGTTAAATCGTGATTTTTCGTTTTATAATCGTCGAAAAGTTTTGCCTCGTTACTTGATCTCTTAATGTTTGTTTTTTCAATTTTTGGCGTATGTGATCTCGAAGTATATACAAACATGTTTGACGGTTGGATCGTTGAAACTAGTCGTAGAATGCGTATCTCATAAAAATAATAGATTCACTAATACTTAAGAGTTTATTCATACTTTCATTAAGTATAACATAAGATTTTGTGGTATCCACTATTGTAAATATTTTAAATTGAAGATCGAGTTCATTCATCGTATTCATATAGGGTCAAGGAGTGTAGATGTAAAAAATCATCAAAATCGGAGTTAAAATAATAGTTAAATCGTGATTTTTGGTTTTATAACCGTCGAAAAGTTTTGTCCTGTTACTTGATCTCTTAATGTTTGATTTTTTTCAATTTTTGGCGTATGTGATCTCGAAGTATACACAAATATGTTTGACGGTTGGATCGTTGAAACTAGTTTCGTAGAATGCGTATCCCATAAAAACAATAGATTCACTAATACTTAAGAGTTTATTCATACTTTCATTAAGTATAACATAAGATTTTGTGGTATCCACTATTGTAAATATTTTAAATTGAAGATCGAGTTCATTCATTGTATTCATATAGGGTCAAGGAGTGTAGCTGTAAAAAAGCATCAAAATCGAAGTTAAAATAACTGTTAAATCGTGATTTTTCGTTTTATAACCGTCGAAAAGTTTTGTCCCGTTACTTGATCTCTTAGTGTTTGATTTTTTTCAATTTTTGGTGTATGTGATCTCGAAGTATATACAAACATGTTTGACGGTTGGATCGTTGAAACTAGTTTCGTAGAATGCGTATCCCATAAAAACAATAGATTCACTAATACTTAAGAATTTATTCATACTTTCATTAAGTATACATAAGATTTTGTGGTATCCACTATTGTAAATATTTTAAATTGAAGATCGAGTTCATTCATTGTATTCATATAGGGTTAAGGAGTGTAGCTGTAAAAAATCATCAAAATCGGAGTTAAAATAACCGTTAAATCGTGATTTTTCGTTTTATAATCATCGAAAAGTTTTGTCTCGTTACTTGATCTCTTAATGTTTGTTTTTTTCGATTTTTGGCGTATGTGATCTCGAAGTATATACAAACATGTTTGACGGTTGGATCGTTGAAACTAGTTTCATAAAATGCGTATCCCATAAAAACAATATATTCACTAATACTTAAGAGTTTATGTATACTTTCATTAAGTATAACATAAGATTTTGTGGTATCCACTATTGTAAATATTTTAAATTGAAGATCGAGTTCATTCATTGTATTCATATAGGGTTAAGGAGTGTAGCTATAGAAAATCATCAAAATCGGAGTTAAAATAACCGTTAAATCGTGATTTTTCGTTTATAACCGTTGAAAAGTTTTGTTCCGTTACTTGATCTCATAATGTTTGTTTTTTTTTTCAATTTTTGGCGTATGTGATCTCGAAGTATATACAAACATGTTTGATGGTTGGATCGTTGAAACTAGTTTCGTAGAATGCGTATCCCATAAAAATAATAGATTCACTAATACTTAAGAGTTTATGTATATTTTCATTAAGTATGACATAAGATTTTGTGGTATCCACTATTGTAAATATTTTAAATTGAAGATCGAGTTCATTCATTGTATTCATATAGGGTCAAGGAGTGTAGCTGTAAAACATTATCAAAATCGGAGTTAAAATAACCGTTAAATCGTGATTTTTCGTTTATAACCGTCGAAAAGTTTTGTCCCGTTACTTGATCTCTGAATGTTTGTTTTTTTGCAATTTTTAGCGTATACGATCTCTAAACATATACAAACATGTTTGACGGTTGGATCGTTGAAATTAGTTTCGTAAGATGCGTATCTCATATTTCCCTCTCTTTTTTGTTTCATTTTCTTATCATTTTCTTTTTTCCCTCCCTTTTTTTATTTTGAAAACTTTTTCCCTCCCTTTTTCTTCAAAGGGCGGACACCTCACCTCACCTATACTACACGGTACAGTGGTACTGGTACACCCATCTTTCCCTCTCTTTTTTGTTTTCTTTTCTTATCAATTTCTTTTTTCCCTCCCTTTTGTTTTTTTTGAAAACTTTTTCCCTCCCTTTTTCTTTCAAAGGACGGATGGCAGATGCTTATTAATTGTTATAGTTTTTAGGGGTATAAAATTTAATTTAAAATTTAATATATATATATATATATAATTATTATAGTTAATATTTTGGGGGTATAATTATTATAGTTTTTAAGGGTATAAAATTGTTAAATTAATATATATATATATATATATATATATATATATATATATAATTATTATAGTATTTGTTTAGGGTTATAAAATTATTAAATTAATATTCTGCTTATCGTGTATCGTGTTACCCACGTGTATACCCGAACCAACCCGTTATCTTAACAGGTGCTTATCAGGTTACCCGATAACGACCTGATTCGTTATCGTGTCGACCCGAACACCTGTTAATTTCGTGCGTGTCGTGTCAGGTTATCGGGTCGTGTCAGGAATTATCAGGCCTAATTGTATTATTGAATTAGAACATCATGTGACGACAAACCTGTTCCATATAAATTATTCTTTGGTCGAAGTCTGTTTCTGCGTGAAGCATTATGATGTAAGAAAACATTGGAGTTGCTGCATGCTGTGATGTACTGATGTGTTTTCATTCACCAATATCGTACAAGCATCCGCACATACGAAGATGATGCATTTTTACATGCGCAAACGTCTCTAAAATTACGGTCAAATGAAGGCTTTTCTACTGCCACACAAATGCCATCTGAGTAACTGTTTATCTCTCATTTTTGTTAACGTTTTTTACTTTGATCGGTAACCCTTTTCATCATCAGAATAACTGAAAATGCAGGGCTCTTCTATTTTGCCCTGAAGGATAAACTATAACAACTATAAATGTAATTTGGCCTAGAAAATAAACTGAGACACAAAAATTCATAGCATAAAGGAAGGGAAAGAAAACAAGAAAAAACTGAAAAGAGGGAGCTGGCATCGAGCCCCACCAAACAAAGGGTGGGGGGTTGACGTTGACGGCCTTGGAGATAAAAATAGTTTTTTCTTTTCTTATTTTTTTCCTGTGCAAGAGAGAAGGAAGGAAAATATGACTATTTTACCATTTCGTTCCCGCATTCTGGAAGCATCTAGCTGTTTTAGCTACAAGCAACGTGGCATTTTGTCCTCCGAACCTCTGGTGTTGTTTTTAATTTTTTTTTTATTCTTATATGA